GGCTTGGGGACAGAGAGGAGGCTCCTCCTGGGCAAGCCACAGCTCATGCCCTGTCCTGCCGCTTCCGATCCCCTGGTGTAGTATCCCACTGCTGAGTTTTTCCAGGATTTTTCTCAGTCCTAATTCCCTTTGCTGGAAACTTACTTCTGCTGCATCTCCCACCTGTGGCAGAGCTGCCCCTATGGCTGTGCAGGGAGTGCGTCACAAACCACTGCCCCTTTGTCTGGTACCAGAGTGACAGAGCTCTAGTGCAGCACCCACTTAATCTTTAAAATGGAAGGGAGATGGGAAAATCCCCGTCCCCCCAGTCTGCTTGGTTGTTCCTTCCTGCACTGCTTATGTGCCTTTCCACAGGCTTTCGAAGAAGTGAAGCAAATGTACGCTGAGCTGAAGAGGAGGGTGGAGCAGAGCCCAGCTCTGGGAGAGGAGGGCAGCAGGGTGCAGAGCATAGGCCTGGAGGCACAGGCTCTGTTTGAGGACACTTTGGCCATGATGCTCAGGATGGAAAGTAAGACTCTTTGTGAATCTACTGTAATTTTCTCAGGCGCTGGGGAAGGGCTTTTGACTCCCAGAGGGGTGAGGGAAAGAAATTATGAGGAAGACAAGATCATTCTGGCTGTGAGCTGGTGTGGATTTGGGCTCTATCTGTGGGTGCTGTGCCAGTGAATGTAGAGTTCGTAAGGGTGCGTGTGCCGCTGTGCAGCACCAAGGTGCCCCCATTTTACTCCATGTGCTTGCTTCCATTTCTAAGCGTTCAAGATTAATAGCTTTGTTTGGACCAGTCAAAAAACCAGCTGTGTTTGTTTTTTTTTTCCTGAGGGAACAGAGGATGTCAGTTTTCTCACCCCACCAGAGCTATGCAGGAGGGAGGAGCAGGCTCAGCCCAGCCTGCTGGGGAGAGTAGTGCCCATGAGCCTTCCTCCTGTCCAGTCATCTCCTAAGTGCTTTCCACCCTCTCTCCACAGCTTTGGAGATGGAAATTCAGGAAAGCAACAAGGCTTTGATGTCCAAGTCAGCCAGGCTGTCGGGCCTGGAGGAGAGGGTGGGGAAGATCCGGGACGCCATCAACAAGCGAGTCGCCTACTACGAGAGCTGCTCCTGAGCGAGCTCCTGCCCTCCAGCAGCCTCCCCGCCCTCCTCTGCACACACTGACTTCTGTATTTATTCCTGTTCTCTGGCTGAAGTTCTCACGTGCATAATGTCTCTATTTTTAGCAAATATTGTTTTTGTACCTCTGGAAAATATCTGCACTGAGCCAAAGGAGCAACCCCATGGAGAGGGCTGAGCTTGGTTGGACTGGATGAAGCTGCCCAGTGGTTGGAGGTAAAAGGGTGGAGGCATCAGTCTTCTCTGGCAAATAAAAACATCCATAAAGTTGTTCTTTCCAGGGTGGTTCATAAACCAAGAAAGTCTTTCTTTTTCTTGTTTTAGCCAGTTCAAGCTCTTGAAGCTGAAATTCAGTGTTAAAATGAAAATCCTTGTGTGGGGTCTTTTAAACCATTTATTCTGTGCTGCAGTTGATCCTTAAAACTTGCTGTGGCTTCAGTAGTTCCCTCCTAGATCTTTCTTCAAATAACGTGATCACAGAAATGGAGAATTTGATCTCCATCATACGTGTACAATGTATTTATACAAGTAAGAGAAACAAGGTCTCATACTCAAAGGTGAAGTCAAATGTCTTATTTGACTTTCTGCCACAATCTGCTTATTTACCGTGTAGCAGTTTGCCAGAAAAATACCAGAGGGAGCAGGTCTGCAGATGCACGGGGAAGGCTTTGGAGGAGAATTAATTGACCATTTCCACATCAAATTTCTATGAATAACCAAGAGGCACTTTACAAAACAAAACTCAGCTTTATTAAGCAAGTATTTATTGTGCAATTACAGACTTGGAAGCAGGGAACTCAGACCTTGCTGGGGCTGTTACCAGACACACGGAGGTTGAGGGCAGGTTGTCTCTCCTGCGTATCCAAAGTGAGAACCGCGGGGCTGGGGCAGCTGGTGGCTGCTGAGCTCCAGAGTGCCAAAGCCTGGGAGCAACCAAAACCCAAGGAGTGGATAGGGTGAAGACTGTAAAAATAATGGACATGCCACTGAGCAAAACTCCGCGTGGCTCTGGTTGGTGGGGCTGACGTCGTGCCGTGCGCTTCTGATGCGTTGGGCAACTAAACAGTGTGCAGAGACAAAAGCCTACAGCGCCGAGCGATGTCGTGTGGGTGATGGACACCGAGTGTGCCAGCAGCAGCCTCAGGCTGTCCCTGGCTTCCCCCCAGCTCTAACCATCCAGAAACACCCCGAGGTGACTGCGGTGATGATTCCTGGGGCTGACTGCTGCTGGTCACGGCCGGTGGCTGCTCCTGAGGCGCTGCTGCCGCCGGCTCCCGCGGGGGCCCGGCCCGGAGG